TCAGTCGTAAACGTAGGGCAAGGCAGAGAGAAACGCAAGTCGTACACAATAGCCTTTCAGGACAGTCTGGAGCGTTTACGGATTGTTCTCTGCCATCAGCCGAAGTCGGCGAATATATTAAACTTAACGGCTTTTTTTCAGGTGTAAAAGCGTTCATGGCGCCGAGCGTACACTCTGGTACACTTTGGTGTGTGCACCAAACAATCGCCGAATGTCGCCTGAAGTTGAAGGGACGGCTATAAAAGAAGGCAAACGACGAGGTAAGCTGAGATTAAAGTTGAGCGACATTGCGACCGATCTTTTTCGCAAGGCCGTATCTTGATTTTGCGCAATTTCCGACTGCTCTGTTTGAACGCTCGTTCTCGGTCTAAATGAGTGCTTGCGAAAGAGATGAGTCGATCAGAGAAACCGAGCTTTGGTGTTGCAATATCATTAATTTCAAGGCACTAATTAAGAATTTAGGATCGACGTGGAAAAAGAAAGAACAATGCTCTAGCGAGTTGCGCATAAACGAAATATGCAATGAAACTCTTGTCGGTTAAATCCATCTATTTCAATCGATTGACTCGCCGCATTGTAAATATTCTTTCTCTCTCAAGATACAGATTTGGCGGTGCAAAAACTTGTCTAATACCGATGCAAATGTATTAAAATGTATGTACGCGATGGCTATTCACGCTAAGTGACCGAATTTGATCACTTCGCGTAAACTGTAACATTATCACTGTCGTTTATCTCAAATTATTTGTGCTTTTTACAGAATTTCCCCTGGCGCGAGACTGTCCCGGCCACGGCGGAGCTGGTGAGTGAATTGTTCTTTACATTTCGATGAAATACGATTATTCAGTATTGTATACTGTGCTAATCGAGAGAACGAAGTTTCGGCAAGATCAATTTTTAGGAAACTCGATAAGTCATAAAAAGGATCAATAGCTAGCCGCTTAAATTGTTTAGCTGGGACCGAAAGGCACGACGGTAATATTGAATGTGTGATTTTAATTGCAACAACCTTACACAAATCCTGAAGTCGCTACTATCGTTGTACGTCAATTGGCTCGAGTCTTTTATATGTTAATGTTTTCTTCGCTCGATCAGACTGATGAGTGGAACTCGTTGATATTTGCAGATATTATACTCTCGCTATACGTTCCCCTTTTCCTCGCCTCGGCACTACAATGCCAATACTTGCCTGAATAATGCGGAATACAATTTACACTTTAATTTGACCATTACAATGATGTTCCATTATTCTGGAACGAAGCTATTTTATTAATAACTAATTGCGCATGTAATATAACCCGCGGCTCCTGCTATTGGAACCGGTAATACTTTTCACGCGAGTGAAAGGTTCAAGGCACTTGCGACAAAGTACAGTTTTCGCAAAACTCTCGAACGGGAGACTCGTAGCTGTTTGCATTTTTGCAGTGGTCGGCTCGTGAGCGCAACGGGCGTCCAATGTCGATGTCCATCGGCGCGGGCGGATAACGATCGACGATGTAAAGTGCTTGGCGTCGGTGCCGCGCCGCGACATGACGCCAGTCCATGTTTATGAAGTGTCGCTATCACGACACGGCTACAAGTTATGCCGTGTATAGCCAGTCGCTTCCTGCCAGGACAGGCTACGAGCGACACGATACGCGCCGCGATATATGAATGCATTCTAGCCCGACGGGCGAATATCATTCGCGTCACTCCGCCACGTCGATATACCGCCCAAAGATTTACGACGGCGGAGATCTCGTGACAATGTCTCGTGTTCGCGACGGATGGCGGAGTCAGCCGTCCGTGACGTTGCGAAATATCCGCACGCGGCATGTTCAATGCGAAACTTACGTGAACTTAGGCGAATAATTACGAGCCGTTGGCCCGATGAAAGAAAACGGGAGACACGTTTTGCGTTGGCGTGACTCTCCCCGCCCAAACGTTATTTATTTCGTACGTGTGCGCGCGTATAACGGCGTAGGTAAAAATAAGACGCTCGTTGCGTAAGTATAAAATGGAAATGACGAATAATCAGCCCCGTTTGCCAAAGGTTGCGAAATAATCCAGATGGTATCCTAAATATCAGATCGACGTCCGGCGAGAGGAGATCGCTCCGAATTTCGTGCTCGATCATTAGAGCCGATGGCTCGTACGTGTATAGTGGGAACGCGCGTATCGTGGATAACATTAGGGCCATAATTCGAAGGATAATATTAAGATTGGCATGGGGCAAAATAGAAGGCCACGGTGTGTAGCCGCGACGGCTGGATCGCCGGCGCCGCGCCGTGAGATAGGACGAGGAAAGGGCAGGGCGCGACTATATTCGTAACGACGACTTAAACGCGCCGCGGATGATTCCTCGGGGTCAGTTCTGTGTCTCGCAATACGGCGAAAATGCTGAAAGTCGGCACTGTCTCTTTCCAAGGGAACAGAAAGGGGCAAAGCTACTCAGTTCTAGCATTTTGCGTTCAAATCGAACCTCAGTAATGCTCGGACGTGCGCTTATTTTTGTCGAGAAAAAGAATTGTTAGACGACATTAGGCCGGCAGATGGTTTATCCGTTTAATTCCTAAGAGCCAGTTTCACAAACGTCGGTTAACTGTTAACCAGAGTTCAGTCTATCTTTTTCTGTCTTATTGTCTAAGAAGAGAGTCTCTTCAAGCCTCTTCAAGAGACAGAGAATCAATTAAACCTTCCGTTAGCAGTTGACCAAAGTTTGTGAAACTAGCCCTAAGTACACTTATCTTTATCTTCGGACTCTGTCTCACGGATGACGATGACTCGCTTGTCTACGAATTTTTCTTCTTTTCTTGTATTGTTACTTGAAAAGGACCTGAAGGAAGGTCGAAATGTTGTAACGAATTTGATCAAATGTGCCAACAGGGTTGACGATAAGCTCGCTGTTTTAATTTTGCATTTTCACTGTAGCGTAAGACACAGAACTGATCCTTATTCTCCCGTCGTAGGCGCGAAGACGAGCGTTTCTCTTCGAACAAAGAATTCCGTCGCTCGCGCGAGGCTTTCTCGATGCGTCGGAAACAGTGAACTCCATAACGCACTGGCGCGAGTGGTCCTATTGTTTCCCATTGTTCTCGATGTCGCCGAGATACTGCTGGATGAATCTCTGTTATCTTTCTCTATTATCTGGTCAACGATTTTCTCTCATATAAGGTGAGATAGAAAATCGTTGACCAATCAGACCAGTAGAGAAAGAGACAGAGATTAACCCAACAGCACATTTGCCTCGCTCGGCGACGCCGAAAACAATAGGAACACTCATTCCAGTGTGTCAGAGCTCAATGGTTGGCCCCGACGGACTTGAATTTCTCCGAAAAATGCGGCGCCTCGCGTCACGTCTACAGATTTTGCATCGTGTCTGCGAAGATGCGCGACCCGCCGTCGGAGATCCCGCCGCGCGACAGCGGTTGAATAAATCTCTACGGCGTAACGATCGGAATTAGTAATGCAATCCTTCAATTCGCTCAATACCTAATTTGCCGAAATTCCTATAATTCGTCGGCCGCTAATATCCTTTTGACCGAGATTATCGGTCCACAGGGTGGCAGAGGGGTGTGGGAGGATTGCGCGCCGGCAAGATGCTTCGATGCACCTCGTCAGGTGACGTCAGGGGGTTTGCGGTCTCCAAATTACGATATCGTTAAAATACGACGGCAAGAGCCGGAGCAAGACGCGAAGCGGGATGAATGCTCTTTCCATCCGCCCGCCCGCACTCGCGGAGTAATAGGCTCCGTGATTATATGCATTATGCGGGCTAAGATAAAAAATATACAGTATATAATAAAATAATTGAAATAATCGTACGTCAGTGGGCGAGTCGATATTGGTAGCCCGCGCGGCGATATACGAGGCAAAATGAGATGCAATTGGAAATGAGTATGTTCGACTGGCATTCGATGATTCGTGTACTCTGCGAAAGAGGTGGCGCTTATCAAAAATGCCACAAGTGCTTACGTACATGAATGCACGCGAATATAATTTTAAATACATTTCGGAAGTTAATTTTCGGAGACAGTTTTCGAGACGAAATGGTGTATTTATCTTGAATAACAAACATCTTGGTTAAAATTTCGTGAGAAATTACTATTACCTACTCTTTAAAGTTCTTGGGGTGAAAATACTGCCATGGAGTGAAATATTCAAAATTGATATTAATAATTAAAATAATAGAAAAGACACTAGGGGCAATATCCGTCACCGGATATGAGTGAATATTTACTCCAACAGAGTGAATATTTCATTTCATGGCAGTATTTTCACTCCAAAAATTTTCGAGAGTAATTAGTCGAAGATGTATGCGATAATCGATCTTAGCTGCGCGAAAGGTTGTTAGAATTCTGGACCTAATGTTATTGAAACATCATCATTACGCGTAGACGATGCAAACTCTCTCTCTCTCTCTCTCGCGCGTATAGACAAATGCAGAAAGGCTTAATAATTTTCTTGAAGAGTATTTGAATTGCGGCAAAAAGTAAGCCAGTTCGTTGAAACGTAACGAGCAAGCTCGCGGTACGGACGAAAGAACATCAAGTACCTGTGCAAATATCGCACACCTTTCGCGGCTTCTATTTACTCGCGGGCGAACTGTAGTAGACCGTAACATTTCGCGAGAGGTATACTTCCCGGAGCGCTGGCGAGTATACTGAATGCTTTTATTGCTAGAAGAAATGTGGAAGCGGATCGTAAATGTGCGTTCGGATAACAGGGTACGGGAAATAGAGAGACGGTACCTGTGTGCGCGCTCTACTCTATAATAAATATATAAACGATTATTTAATGGAGATCTTGTGGGAGTTACAGCCGTGAAGAACGAGTTTCAAAAACGATTTATTGCAATTCAATTATCCTCTCTCGGGAGCTGCGACGTCGTATGATATCTCAAAATTTGACATCAGGACGTATTTGAAATTGAAAACTGTACATACGTGGCAGACAGAATAGTGCAATTCTTTAAAATAGCAACAATTTTCATTTTTCGAAGATGGCTTTTATTTTGCCAAAGAAGTGGAGTGAATTTTTAATGTCAATTTTCCAGTGAATTTGGAATATAGAGATGTAAAATGTAGAAGTGCAAATGTGGAAAATAATTTTTTTACAAAAATAATTTCAGAATACACGTATGCACGTAACTAAAATTATTTACTAATTACTAGTATAGATGAGCATAGAAGGTATAAAATAAAGGGAGACATTAAAGATGAATATTATAGAATTATATTTTTGTTAAAATTGTTACATTAGAAGTATACACTTTATAATCTTTTTTCTTATTTGCGCATTGCATTAACTGCACTTACAATTGTGGCAAAAATAGTTTCCAGCGATGCAGTACTGCTGGGAATATTTATAACACTAGCATGAATACTCATAAAAATTCTTATCTTGATTGTTAAACTGCTGCTGGCAATAAGAGAATATTCAATAGTGCCGACGATTCCGCTATAAAACGAATAGTTTATGGTAGACTGCTCACACTTCTCGTTACTTTCCCTCTTTTAACCATTTTCCCAAGTAGAAGCAAGGAAAATGTAAATGAAAAATAGATAAGCACTTCCGCGAAATAAATAACGACTATTGATTTTCACATACATTCTACGTTCGAGACAGATCAAATAGCACATAATAAGTAGTTTAAATAATCTTGTGAATAAATAAAATACTCAAGAGTTATTGTTTGTCGGTGAGAAAGTTTTATCAACGTAGGAAAAAAGTATAAGTATATGCGGAATAATCAATTCTGCAAAACTAAGCAGGAAAATTATTTATGTGAAACATATATTTTATGTACTATGAAGGTTGTGCAAGAACGTTTTTACCTACACTTTTCTGTAACGCATTAAAATAATGTTTTACGTTTACGAATATTTTCGCAATCTGCTTTTCAAAACGTTTACGCGCCAGTTTCTTTTTGTTTAATTGCGTGAAGTCCATAAAAAGTAGATAGTGATGATGTTTGAGACCATTGTGCCGTCTTTGGATTCAAGTTCGCACCGCGAATTAATTTTGTTTCGCAACCATCTGTAAAAGTTTATTGCAGAATTATTGCAGAACGTAGAAACACTTGCATGAATACTTGTTCTGAACTTGTTATAATTATACAGATTTTTCACGAAATATTAAAGAATTTTTTTTCTAAAGTTAATAGAATGAAGCTTACAATTTTTCAATATACGTTGCACTTCTTGTGGAGCAATAAATTTATTCCACTGATGAGTACCGCGAGGTATAACTTTGAAAACGTATTCATTTAGTACAATAGTAGACCAGAAAGATTTTAGAGTTTTGTTTATTGTCGTTATAAAAATCGATTTGCCAGGCTTCACAGTTTTCACACATTCCTGTAAAAAGAATTAAAAATATTTTTTTATGCAGTGTGTTTATATAATAAATCCTATATCGTTTAATGTAATATTGTACCTTTAAAAATAGTTGCGGGTCCTCTGTATGTTCCAAGACCTCGGAACTTATAACAACGTCGTACGTTTCTTTCTCTTTTTGGACAAACTCTTCCACGGTTGTCTGAATGTAATTCACTCTTTCTGATATCTCGGGATTTAATTTTACATGCTCTTTGGCAATATTTATTAATTCTGCCGATGCGTCAATTCCAGTTACTTGCGCACCTGCTTCAGCTAAAGCCTCAGCTAATATACCTCCACCGCAGCCAACGTCTACAATTTTAATTCCTTTCAATGGTAGATTTGAATTCTGTAGTTTGACTCCGGCGTTTGTCAATCCATCTTTCACAAACTGTATTCTGAGCGGGTTGTACGTATGGAGGCCCTTTATTGGGCCGTTCTTGTCCCACCAATTGTTTTCCAGATCAGAAAAGTGTTTAATTTCTTTAGAATCCACCGTAGACATTGATCTGGCGAGTCTGCTAATGCATATAATATTTTGTGATAATCTGTAAATAAATTACACATCAACAAATAAATCTATCTGTATCTAGGCCGACGGGACAAATACTTTACTTAAAGATACTATTTTGATACTCTATATTTTAAAGATAAAAAGTTATAACTATAATAGATGAAAGTTAATGACACGATTATATATAATTATATTGCGAAATATAAATGGACATCATACCTGTTTCCGAGAATGTTCCTGCACGTTCCTCCGTTGAAATATTTGGTAACGTTTAAAGTTATCATATTTGTATTTAAACACAATTTGCACTTACAGTCGAAAAGTCACACTACATCAATGACTCACCGACAAGCAATAAAAATGCACAGCGGACTATATCTGAAACACTATTGTTATTCTTTATTGTAAAATGGAGATAAATAGATCCATGATGTAAAAAGGCAATGATAAACACGTGGTACTAAAGTTACATAGTCCACCACGAGTAAAACTTTCACATTATAGGCAAGTTGTCCCAACCTCTTGGCAAGTTACCTAATAGTTAAATCATATGTATGTCTTTGTCTTCCCTTTAAAAAAGCTAGACATATAATTTAACTTTCAGTTAGCTTACCAAGAGGTTGGGAAAACCGGCCCTAAGACGAATATGCACAGCATTCGCATTGTTATACGTTCGATTTAATTTGCCGGTCACAGCACTACAAAATAGTGTTCGCTTGGTAAATCTTTATAATTGAAAATTTTTCGCACACTTGCACACTTGCACATGTACAGACACACGTGTACGCACAAATTCACGATTCTGAGACTCAATATTTAGAAAGAGTATGAATTTAGAAAAAAATGAAAAACGCTATTATAGTTTTGAAGTCTCGAGTACCAACAATGGAAAAACCCAAAAATAAACCGACATATGTAACCTGTAATACACGTTGGATTAAAAGATAAAGGACATAAACGGAGAGTATTATATACTCATATCTATCTCTACTGGAATACGATATTTATCGGCGATTTTAAACTTTGGTTTTTATATAAATTAATATTACAAATGAATATATTTTTAAGAATGGTCAAAATAAGCTACATACCTAAACCAAGTACTTCCGTCGAATGAGACTGACAGCTCACTTTAGCACTTCAGTATAATCTCGCAAATTATCGCAATGTGATAGCTTCAGAAGTTATGTTTGTGAGAGACTCGTCTTATCAAGCTACTCCCATTTTTGAGCATTCTTAGAGAAGCATGTGCTAACCTGATAAACAGCGTTAGCTTAGAGCGTGACTAACACGTGTCATCGAACACAAGAAATTCAAAATCATAATATATTATGTAAAGAAAAGCGGAAAGACAGGTTTACAATTCATGTGACTCACGCGTGTAAGTCACACGAACTTTCGCAAGTCTGTCGAGCTGATAGTGTGACTCTCAATATCTCTGTTTTCAACGTAGTATCATATTATTGCAACACACATTTGGTAGCCTTTCAGTAAGATAACATTACAATCTGCAGAATAACTTTTTTTCTTTAATATCACGATACCTGCAGAAAGCGCAGAATCTTGTAATATTCAGATAAGGTCATTATTCCCGACCGACGTTACGTCGCGTTCCGAATATGGATATGCAAAAGACGGGAGAAAACGCGCTCTACCGATCGTTACGGAACCGAGAGAAGATAAACTCGCCGTCCTACGATCTCTCATTTATCCGGTAAAAAATCGCGAAAGAGCGGATGCAGCGTAGAAGCAGTATCGCGTTTTACGGGCGCGTAATGCAGCCGATGGTCCGTCCTCGGTGCACATCCGAGTCGTCGGGAAGTTATTACAACATCGTAATACACCAGTAATTTCCACTTCTCTTTCTCTAACTCGTCCCGACAGTCAAAGGGCCTCTGGCAGTTTTACGTTCATTCAATGTTCTAGTGTACTTTTTTTTACAAAAAAAAAAGACGAACCGATTATCACTGCTCGTTCGCCGACTTTTCGTTGCGCTCTTACGATACAAGTTTGGTTCTCATTAATTACCGGCTGTGCTATCAAATGTGGTATACCATTTGGATCATTCTCTAGCAAGTTTTACGCATTATTGTATTTTTCTGCAAATGACTTTTGTCGTAGTCTTTCAATCTTTACAATTATAATTATTGAAACAAATTATTTTTATTTTATCTGAAACTAAATACCAGTCGAGAAAAAATGTATATTATCTTAAAAAATAACAGATAACGGGTCGATAATTATTTAAACGTTCATAATAGTCAGTGATATCAATTTATCGTATAATGATTGATAAATTTATATAGAAATCTCTTTAAGTTACCAGTAATAAACAATAATCAAAATTTTTACTCGACATTAATCGGCCAATGTTTTATACAGCAAATTTATTGCGAAAAATATTACCTCAGCCAGGGTTTGAACCTGAGTGCGTCTAGGAGACGCCCGCCTAGAGAGTAGCTGGCCAGGTTCAAACCCTTAGGTTATATTTTTCGCAATAAATTTGCTGTATTAAAACATTGGCCGGCTAATGTCGACTGCAAAGCTTGATTATTGATAAATTTATAATTTGAAAATTATGATAACCTTGACATTTTATTAAGAGTTTCGACTTTGATTAAACTTTAAAATGTGAATACGTGCTATAAAATGTGCTAAAGTGTTGCACGGTGGTCGTAGAACAACCTATACATAAAATGGATATTATTTCAAATTTCGAAATCCTCTTGTTTTTAGTCTATCCCGTTTTACCAGAAGATGTACAGGAAAAATTTTAAATACTATGTAACATCATATTCCTGTCTCTACACGTAATTCACATTGTGCAAACTCGCGGTTTAATAGAGATATTAACGAGCGGATATCACGATCCTTTGCACCTTTATTCACTTCCACGTGTGAGAAAGCTCCGTTCGGTCAAACGGAGTTTTCAGCTGACCATGTTACAAGCTTCATGCTAGAACCGACTGTATGTCTAATAAGTAATGACGTAGGGACGTAAGGAAGCCTTGATAATTCTTCGAGCATGTAGCCACGCAATTAAGGTGTAACGTTTTGAAGTTCTGGTCGTAAACAACGCGGGCAAAGTAGCGGAACCTTCGAGGCTCGGTTCCGCCCGTCAATTGTTACCAATTGTTGCCAATCAGAGTAATACGTGTCATTATGCCGAGAGAAGGCTGGCAACGGTGCGCAGCGCCCCTGCCTGCGTACCAGCCTGATTACACCGCGGGTAATATTAATTTGCCGCTAATTGGATAGTATCTGACGGACGCGCGCGCAGCTCGAAATCAGTGTTTCACAGGACGATGCGCCTTTGCTTCCTGTAAAGAGGAACTAATCTCCTTTCGCCATAGGCAAACAATCCGACAGGGCGATTTTGGGCGCGTGAATCCTTGGCGAGTTGGTCATTTCGATATCATATTCCGATAACGTCTGCTAATTCACTCGTAAACAGTAAATTCATTTAACAATATGACTTACACGTCACACAGTCGCCGTTACATTTGGTTGATAACAAAAAGAGAAGCTTCCAACTTGTTTCAATTAACAAAAATTTATCTTTACATAAAGGACTAAGAGCCGTGACAGGGTGTTAGTGTCTAAATATCTTCTTCTAAATTTATTGCGACAAAATATCACCTCAGCCAGGGGTTGAACCTGGACCTCCCTCTAGCTAGACGGGCGTCTCAATCAATTCGACCACCGAGTCATATGGCAATATTCATCGCAGTAAACAGTCGTGACAGTATTCGAAGACGAGAACTGCGCGGCGACTTAAATCAGTCAGTCTTAAAACGCAGTACAATCATCCCTACAATGTATCCCCATTATTACCCTCTCACCCGACCAAATAATTAAATGAAAGTCCTTTATTCCTTCAAATTTGTGTTTATCACATTTTATCAATTTGTTTATCTTTACAAATCATTGCCATTTCGATGATCAGTCGACGGTACATGGCGTATGACTAATAGCTTCTATGACTTACTGCTAACTTGACGGCTTTTCGTCATTTCATTCCCCAAAGCCGACGCGCGTGTTTCGCGTCGTGCGCCAATGATTTCATTTATCAATGGCTGTTCTCGCGTGACTACATGTACATGCGCTAAAGAAAAAAAACGCAGAAATCGACGGCTGCATTGCCTAACAATCATCTGCATAAAAAGAAATAACCACTCGCGTAGCGAAAAAAAAAAGATTTAATGTTTATAACTTTGCCGCCATGGCGACGTTCGGTCTTCCTCATAGAGTTATAACCGTTCCACTGCAGCGGACACATTGACGACCGTTGATTAAGCGGCGTATGGCGTAGTGCACTTTGCAATTCAGGAATCCGATGGGCTAGACCATGGGCGTAATACTCCGCCTTTCGCCGCGCCGCCAGTGTCGGCGGCTACTTTGTCCGTGTACCAGTTAGCCTGGCATTTACATCGCGATGTAGGAGTAGATTTATTATGTGGCGGTACCAGTAGTGCCTGGAGATTGTCGCAGGATAATCGATAATTACCGCTTTACGTCATTAAGATTAATTGCGGCAATGTACCAACTTTATCGGATGTTCACCATCGTTTATCATGAATCGCAATTGGACATCTCTATTACTTAATTACTCGGTACGCGGTACATTGTCTTCCCTCTGCAATCTACTTCACACCTACGCCTCGAGATCCTCCCGGGATGATAAAATGTATAATATATTAAATTTTTTGCGCCTGTCGTTACCAGAGTGGTTAGGCTAACGATCTCGACGGTTTTCCCGACGCACGCGGTTGACTTGCGCAAGAAAACGGGAGAACGGACCTTTGATGTAAATCACGGAACGCTTGTTATTTCTCGCGCAAGGATCTCCGCTACGTTTTGAGCGTGAGAGGGCGAGGGCCCACTCGTCGGTGCCCACAATTACCTACGGTTCTGGGGTAACTCGACGCGATTAGCATACGCGTTGCGCGGACACCGTTGCGCCGCGCGCCGGCTGCGAGATGCGAGGGGACCCGGAGAATGTCGCGGTGCATCGCACTCCTCGGCGTCGCAAAGAGCATGCAAGGGGAGCAAAAAGAAGCGGGGGAAGAAGGAGAGAAATAAGAGGAAGAAAACCGATGCGTTCGTGCATCGCGTGGCTGAAAGTGAACCAACCGGGTGGCCACGCCTCCTTAGACAGCCGCCAGCCAACAATTAAGATTTGATCGGCAAAAATGGTCGAGGTAAAATGGCGCTGGCCACTGAATACGTAATGCCCACGAGAACGAGACGATCTCGATTTGCCGCGCTGGCGAAACCGGTGCATCGCCCGCCTCATTTCATTCGGAATACAACTCGAGCCGGTATGGCTTCGATTAAGGAGTAAGTGGACGGTGCACGGTAGCCCTTATAATTTTATACGGGATGGTAACAGACGAAGACATTGTCATACAGCGTAATTTCGCCGAAGGGCGTCGCCCCGCGTTCATCGGGTCCGTATTTTATTTATGTATATACGCGGCACTTCGTAGAACTGATTTTAGCCAGTCTGATGTTAATTCAACCGGTTGGTACTTTGCGTCGTGATCATAGCCATCGACACCCGAATTTTCCCGACCGCAATATTAATATAATTCAAACTGCAAATTATCGGAAATTTGCTCGGTCATATGAATTTTTATTTCAACTTCAACTCGCATATGTGCTTAGTATGCAATAATTTTTTTATGAATTAATATCAGTCTTAAAATTGATATTATTTCACGAATACCGTATACTAAATCAATATACGTGAGTCCAAGTTTAAATAAAAATTCATATATAACCGAGATAAATTTGCGATAATTTGCAGCTTAAATCATTTTAGCTGCGGTCGGAAAAATTCTGTATTAATAGTCTGTAATAATATCCACTATCTGTAATAATATTCGCCAGGCGGGTTTTACAGCACGTACAAAGTATCGGCCGCTTAGAAAGGATAATAAAACTGACTGATTGTGAGATCAGTTCCGCGAGGTGACGGCTTAGATCTCGTCCGGCCGATTAACTCGCTCGCCGACAATGGACGCCTGCAAACGGGCAACCGAGCGTGCATCGCTGTAGCGAGCCAGTTCATCGAAATCCGGCCATCGTCGTACAAAGATATATTTACAGAGTAATCGCGCGGGTATACCGTCGAGGATTTTTCAAACGCGCGATCCCAGATCGGCCGCGTTTGCGGAAAGGAAGCGCAAACGCGCACGTTATTCCGCGGATTCATAAATCATCTCCGACAGCAAACTACACACCGCTGCCAATCAAGATCAGGCCGCGCGGGTGTATCGCGCGCATCGGCCGCGCGTGCATATACGTTCTATCGAATGCTCAATCGCGCAATCGATTCCCGTTTGTTCGTTACATTCCGCTCTTTGTTCTCCGTTCCTTCCCGCGAGCCCCGCGAGATCTCTTGCAGCGCCGGTGCTCTGCCCGCTTCTTTTTCTTCCTTTTCCACCGACTCGAAGGAAGACTCGCCGAGACTGGATTAAAATTGCAGGAGCGATTTCACGAACTCACGATATCGGCGAAAACGCCACCGAGGCTCTAATCATGGCGGATACACGGCTCGCGGTAGCCGCTACCACGTTTTACCCCTTAACTCAAGACTCTCATTACACTAATGTCCCACCAATCATCGGCCCTCAGTCGGCGGCACTTCCCCTCCCTCGCCAAGCCAAGCTCCCCCCCGCGTTTCTCAATCACTTCAATCAGAATCATGCAAACCGAGGAGGAAATCAAATTCCTCGACCCCGCCGGGGCGATACCGCCAAGATTTCTGTGAAACGATCGTCGTACTTTGTATATCCGTCCGTACTGGCGGTAGATTTCGCGCGTGATTCGGATTTTTCAGAGCCTCCTCCATTTCATTCAACCGAGCTCTCTCTCTCTCTCTCTTTCTCTCCGGTCCCGTCGGAGACTGCGCAGCGAGAGATTTATTACGTGCGCAATTATTTCATTTATACGAAACGTTACGAGTCGAAACGAGAGGACGTTTCCCTCGCCCCGGACGCCGGGGTACGCGGTCTTTCTTGGCGAGGCATGGAAGATCGCAACGGCCCATCGAAGTCTTTAACAGGGTACTTCGCGAAATAGCCGAAGAAACGCTCTTTAGCATACCGGGAGGGCCAACCGTTAAGGCGGTCGTTAAGTTTATGGGGGAGCGCGAGATGCGAGAGGTTGGCAATTAGATGCCTTCTGTGAACACTGTGATCTTCGCCACGCGAAAGAAAACGACGGCGGCCCCGCGCGCGCAAGGCTCCCGTACAGCGGTAGTCCCCCTCGGACCCGCGAAACGAAGCGCGTTTATTGTATATAGGTACGCGATCGGGGAAGGAAATTGAAATACGGCACCGTCCGCGTGATTCGAACGATCTCGCCCCATCGCCGTCGCCTCGTTCCGACGTAGAAGACGCGATTAAAAGCGGCGCGCCGTGCAGGAGGAAGGGGGGAAAAGAAAGGAATACGAGCCGATCGTGCGCCATGCAATTCGTTACTTGAAACGCAACGTCGGCCGGAGCGAAGTGTTGCTATGCGCGCGGCATCGCGCCAGGATTATAATTTACATGGCTGCGCCCGGTAATTTGCATAAATCGGCTGTAATGTTACGAAAGATCGCCGGTGCCATTTAAAGAATGTTTGCTCGCGGAGCTGCGCGTACGTGTCACCGCGCGATATAAGGCAAGTTTCGCCAGCGTCGATTAAGCTCACCCCGCCGTGTCGGTTTCGCCGACACCTCGCGTCCCTCTTTCGGCACGTCGCGACGCCGGGCTACGACCGATAGGGAGATATTTAGTTTACGGCCGCGGACGGGGACGTCGATGGGGGGCTCCGGTCCCCGTAATCTTGAAAGTACCGGAGATCGTTCTTGTTAGAGGCGAGAAAACTCGACGGACGCGCCGCGATAATCGATCAAATCGATAATCGTGCAATTTCGCGCGGTCCCGCGACGCGGCTATCGAGGATCGAGTTCCACGTCGACAATTACACGGTAAAAGTTTCAAGGCGACTCTGCTCGGATTAAAGTAGCGCGCGGATGAAAACACCAATTCGTTTGAAATTACGAATAGCAACGTAATCGAGGGAGATTAATGTACATGATCCGCGTTCACGGATATAACCCACCATTTTGTCACATTGCAACACCCTCGATATAAATCCCGGGAGGGGGAGGAGAGGGGGGGGGGGTCTCGCGCTTCCCTCTTACTTATCCGCGCGGTGAAAATGGCGCCGAGAGAGGTAGACGGGACCGAAGGCAAGGCGCGCGGCAAGAGCCATGGTTCGCAGGCGAGCAACCGGGAGAGCAAGCAACCACTTATCATTAGCCGCATCTTCCGCCGAGCAGTCAGGGTAATTGTTTCCTCCGGTTTATAGTTTTATTCCGACTCACCGGCGCGATGATATCTCTGCCCGTTTTATATTCCTCGAGGCTATATCGGCCGCATCATGGCCGCGCGTCTGCCTTTCTCCTTCTTTCCTCGGCACGCTCGCCTAGAGCTCGCTCTTTTTGTCCCCTTCAGCATCCGTTTGCTTCTCCCTCCCTCCCTCCCTTCCTCCCCCCGCCGCACCCGGAGCGGAGTCTACTATGATCGAGGAAGCGACCGGGTGGCGTGCCAAGATACGCATCTTGCGTAATTCGAATCGATCGAAACGTTCGCACGCGAGGCGAAACTAGATCCGCCGAATTACGGCAACGATAGGGAGATACTCCGCTTCCGACGAGCTTGCTTATGCGAGATTGAGCGATATATCAACCGGCAAAATGGAGGCTCGGCTCTCTCGCGCCGACCTGACAACGGTTCTTTTCCGAAACGCCATTCGAAGGGGAGGAGGGCCTGCCTAGGCCAGGGAGGATTCGCCGGCTGAGGATTCACCGGCGAGGCGGCCGGCGGCGCGCCCATCCTCGAGCCTCGGGAGGCACAAGGGGGTTGGCGAGCGGTACCACCCGACGGTGGCATTAAACCACGTCTAGCCGCGCGATATGGAAATATCCGAGCCGCTTGTAATAACACGGCATCGGGTGGCCCGTCTCGTAAACGGCGACGAAGACCTCCTTGCAAAGTATTTTCGTGGAAGCCGCGCCACGCTCGTTTCTGCCTCGGAAATTAAGAGTCTCGCGTACGAGGGCGGCGCTCGAAACGGGGCCTATCGTTTAAGTCGGATCTCCATGCGAGATTACTGCCCCCGGGGGTGGCCGCGCTGCGGCGGCGACCGCGGCGATGATGGAGGCGGCGGTGTCGACGATGGTGTGCCGGTATTGCTGGTAGCGTCGGCGGTGGTGGTTGTTCGCTGGAAAGGCGGACTCTGGGGAATCCCCACCCATGCATAATCTAAGTGGCTTTTATATATGCACGGCCTGCGGTCGCGCGATAAGCCCCCGTAGATGTTCGCCGAATGGCGATACGGCGCGAAATTTCGGCGTCCCGTCAGGTTACGCCGACGTCGACGATCCACGCGGTTGCTGGATAAATCACGTCTTTTAACCCGGATTAATGTATAACAATTTCAATTGTTAAACACAAACGTGAAGGAATAAAGGACTAAGAGCCGCGACGGGGTGTTAGTGTCTAAATATTTTATCAACAATTTTCCGAACATTGACGGCCGCCCCACATTCGCGACATGTACAATGATGGACAGAATGGTTGCTACACTGAGAAAAATTTTCATCGGATAAACCAATTAAATAGTATGTCCGATGGTTAATTTTTCCGATTACGTTTTCCGATTAAATTATGGATATATCCGATGAAATTTATCCGATGAAATTTGATTGAAAAACCGATCAAATTTTTCATCAGATATACAATTTAATCGGACATATCCGTTTGTTATCATGTAATTGGATTATCCGATTATATTTAATCGGACATTTTTCTCAGTGTACACTTTTTTTTTTAAATAAGTTTAGGAACGCGCACTTAGATTCGGGCTTATGTTCCGAAACATTTTCTATGGGGAAAATTTTACTCGAGAAATAGCTTGGAAACGCTCAAAATGGCCACCGGACAAAATATTCGTCGGAGAGGAAACTTTTGGAACGTAACACCGAATCTAAACGCACATTCCTAAACTCATTTAAAAAAATGTGTCGCTGCCATTCCGTTCATCGCTGTACGTAGCCCGCGCCGCTCTCGGATTTTTCTGTCCGCGCGAGATCGATCGGAGATTGATACGTTCTCATTGTGCTCCGAATATAGGAGGGAATGAATCTCGCGCGCAGAATATAGTTACAGGGATATTAGGAAGAATTGGACCGCGCGTGCCGGTCGACGTGAATTTCATGGGGGGTGTGTCGTGTGGGCGTGAGGGTGTCGCAGCTGCCTCTCCGTGCACTGTGCACGCGCGCCCCATGCACCGCACGCCGAATACGCACGCTCCACGCACGTTGTACGCGCGTGTTTACGCGCGCGTAATACAATGGAAAGTAAAACGCACCCGGCGTCGTGTAGTCCTGCTTACGCGCCTGCCGCGTTTATCGTACAAGATCGTCATCTTTCACGATATACGAGAAAATGACGAGAATCCAGCAGCCGCACTGTCCCTTTAGACATAGGGACCGCCTATTAGTTCGCCGCGTAAGGGAGGAACTCTTCGGGACGCAAAAGAATCTCGAGTGACAGGAAGACGGCGGGGAAAAGCGACGTTTCGCTCTCCGCCGACTTCCGGCTCCTGGTATTTCGTTTCGGTTTAGAAAGTGGCTGTTCTTTGATAAACGCACCTTTGAATACGTGCAATTTGTTTTAATAGACGCTCGCAAAATTATTATGGGTAAAAGTCACGTCAGTCTTGCGTCAGAGAAATGAGAGAAAAGGAAAAAAAGAACGACGCCGCTACGATATTTTCCAATGCCGATCGCCGGCGTTACTAACAACCTTTTCATTTTCGGTCGTTGCACCCTTTTACTTTTCTTCTGTTACAGGCGGCGCGCGAGTTGCCCACGCGCGTACACGCCGTGCCCGAAAGCGAGCGGATCTGAAGCGGGAATAATTTTGCCTCCTACCAGCACACAAATTCTAATACGCAGGCGGGCACGGTAATGACTACAATCATCCGGGACCGTACAATGCTATCTGATCGGATCACAAAATGGGCACGTCGTTGTTTTCAAAACAGGTATGATTGTAGAGCTTTGCGGCGCTCGGCAGATGCTACGCCCGAAAATGCCCGGTATAATAATAGAAATTCGTTACCGTGTAAATTCCGATGATTGCGACGCAACGTTTGAGGCGCGACTTCCTTGTCAATAGAGATCGCTTGTGGTTTCTAAAGAATTCGCTCAGAATTAACGCCGAACATTTTCATCGCCGGGTGGAAACGCCCGGACCTTAGGTATTTCGCCGATTAAAAATGCGTCCGTAGCGCTAGCGTGAAAATTTCCATAGTCCAGCTTATTCGCTTTCGGGATAATCTAGTCGGACACTCTCTGTTGTGTCGTTTCTGCCATTGAGCGGATCGACTGACGACGGAATCGTGAATCTCGTGTTACAGTCCGGCCTCAATAAAAGACCGAGGAAATGCGCTACAATGACGAAAGGACGGAGGCGTCGGACGCGGAAGTGTCGAGTATTCGGGAAAGAACGATGGCCGCGCCGCATCGTTCCTGAATAGAAATCGTTACTTTGAAAAGATCACCCGCTCCTTGTCGTGGCCGTGGCGATCTCTGATCTAGAATCGGTAAAGCAGCGGCTTTGAAGCGTACCGCCGCGTTGCGAATGTGTTCCTTCCTCGTTTCGTTTAGCCGCCTTTAGCGGCCATAATGGTGACTTGGGAATATCAAATCCCGTTCGTCATTGTTACCCTCGATGCATCATGTGCCATGCACGATGCGGTGAAACTTCGGCTCTACTTGCATCCGCCGATCGATCACTCTCCCGTTATGCAATGCTTTAAAAAGAAAACTGTTTAATACGTTTTTAACATATTTATTCCTCGAATGACTAGGGTAACCTATTTTTCATTCATATGGTTATTTAAAAAATTATTGCGCGTTTCAAGAATACTCGTAAAGTAACAAGTTAATATGCAACGATAAAGTCTATGTGGTCCGAGTAGGAGGTAGCGCAATGGTTAATTGTGTGAATAACTAAACTATGTATATTTTCAAAATCGTTTCGAGAGTAATATCCCTTTTTTTTTATATCGCGCACGCCCAGGCCTTTGTCTTCGACACTGTCGTATTTGCATCTGAAATGACGAAGAGATTCCTCGCAATTTTCTCTACCGAGTGTTCATCGATGTGAGGTAACCTTCGCCAGCATTTTTCGTTTGAATCGTTCAAACTGTGAATCTGCAATTCATAGCTTCCTTGAGCTCGATCATAATTACATAATTAATCCGTACACGACGAGAGAGGAAGAATACGTAATGTATGCGTCGATCGCAGCTCGTTGTTGTCGTACAGCGAATTGCATAGCCGCATTCATGATGGCATTTCCGAGATGTTTCTATGTATTTAACAATTCTTCTTTTCCGACTTGTACTCGCGCGAAAGGAAGATCTTTTCAAATCAAATTTGACCATAAATGTCGACAACTCATCTTTTTAAAGTTTTAGCTATTCGAACTATTATACTTTCTACTTTCGTTTGCACGATTAAAAATCCTCTTTCATGAGTATTTGCGTTTGTTGAATGTCCGCGATCTGCTGTAACGCACTCGTTTGTTGTCTGCCGCGAATTTCAAAATTACATAGTTAAAACCTAAAAAATATAAATTTGAACACAGAACAGACGTAGGTGATACTGCAATTCGCGTGTACATAACTTGCGGAAGTCGCGACACAATTATCCGTGTGGTATGGAAAAGACTTCAGGCGTTTTCCGCGTCAAATAAAGTATGCGTAAATCTCATGCCTAACGAAAGTTTTATCATGAGGTATCATTAAAATCAGGCTAGCCTCTCTCTCTCTCGTCGAAATAATTACAGACAGCAATGTTGAGATTGCGAGCAAGCAAGGTGTTGTTTTTCGACGCTATGCGTTGTGCGGCTGGGGAGATAAAGGCTGGTCTACAATACATGGAGTAAGCTGGAGTAAGGAGTAGGAGTAAGGAAATAAATCCATTTTATTTCTTACTCCTACTTTAGCTCTTAGGCTTACTCTCGGTGAATCAAAATGCCATGATTGATGGCATTTTGATTCACCG